AAGAAAGGAGGAAGAACAACTCTTGATGTTGCTTTTAAATATTAATAAATAATAAAAACTTTAGAAAGGTATTTTAAAATTACTATTCTCAAAGGATTTAATAAGAGACGCGATTAATATGAAAATCATAAAACTTTATTTTACAATTGGACTAATCTTTTTTAATTGGACCTACTTATAGATGAATGCACACTTTACTTTTTTACCTTTGCACACGTAAAATGTATGACAATGATAACACAGTGTGTATATTAATATATATAAAACATCAATATAAACCATCTGGCAAGCTAATGAATAATCAAGGGATTCCAAATTAAACTACAGAATTTTCCCTTAGAATCTTTAGGACAACACTGTCAAGTTTAATCTATTCACTTAGACTCCAGAATCAATTTTTCAAACTTTATGACAGGTCTAATAGTTTCCACCTGTTTCTCTTGCTTGACTTTTGACTGGCACGTTACCAGCCAGAGTGGAAATGTAGACAAAGACCCCTATTAGGCTCCGGCTGTTTCTCTACTGTGAGGTCACTCAGCCATTAAATTAGTTCCAGCCCACTTTCTCCTTCTATGTCTCAATTTTGGGGGGATATGAAGGTTTGGGGAGTGAGAAGGAAGGAAAGACAAAGATTTTGCATTCAGCTTGTGAAAAAGGTATAAAGAAACCTAACAAGCATTTTATAATATGAAATTTAGTACAATATTTCTAATCTATAGCATAATGATGATAAACTCACACCATATTTAATTTTTTATTAAGAGATGTATATATATAATCTTTTCTGACAGTACACATTAGGTAAATGTAAGAACAGTATTTATAGTTTTAAAATTCCATATATTCTAGATTTAGATACCTTACTAAGTTTTGTGTACAGTTAAAAAAAAAAATTAGGCCACTGATATCATTACACCGAATCAAAATTATTGGAAGAAAGGAAAGTATCATTATTTTTTCAATATTTTTTTTGCCAATATATCAATGGCAAAATGAACAAAAAGCCTTCATTGTATAACATTTCTTTAAGAGCCCAGACACAGCATCTGTAGTTACAAAGTTTGCTTGGTAATCATATTTGCAACAAATATTGTACATTAGTGGAGTTCTTAGCTTTGTGTGGGACCATGGCTATTTATTTTTAGGGCAAGCCAAGAGATTCTTTTCATGAGACTTCTCTTTTGTCTATGTATCTAATAAACATTGCTTCCATGAGTTGATTTTCATTTAGGGCTGAAGGCTAAAACAAACTGATGTAGTACATATCCTATCAACTGTCTTATGGCTCATTTGGAACCAGTGCTAAATTAATAGAATAATATTATACACTTGATTTAATTTATTTTCCCCTACAGTTAAAGCTACCAAAAAAAGGTCTTCATATCAATGTTTACAAACATCTGACTTTCACAAGCCTAAAGGCACTCTATCAAACTGTAAACAGCATACCTATAAGGAATGTATCAGCCATCATAACAATGCAGCCAAATAATACCAACCACAATCTTCACAACAAATACCTTGGCTAATTAAAACAATAGGCTTCTGGCAGGCAAAATTAATTACCCATGTTAGAATTTGGCCAGGAGCTCTCTTTCTTGCAAAAGTTATTTAATGGTCAGGACTTCTGTTTTACACCTCATTTGAAAGCCAGAAGCTCAAATAGCATCATGCTGAAGAAATATTTGAAGACACTGTCCTGTATACAATTCTGCATGTATGTAGTTTATTCTATTGAGGCTACTCAAGTGGATAAAGCATCTCAAGCACTTAAATGCCTACAGGATCCAGCCCTGAATTTAAAATATAAGAAAAACTACACATTTACAGAAAAAACTAATATTGCTTCTTACAACACCTGGATTCTTACTTGGAGATCTTAAATGTTTTCCAGACTAGACCTAACTTAACTAGTGATATCTAATGAAATCAAAGCCACTGAATTAAGCAATACTAATTAACATTTACAGGTGCAGACCCTGTTACTGATAGTATAATCTGAAATAGATGTTTATGCAAAAGTTTACATCACAACAAATGAAATGTCAAGTCCCAAGTTTCCTCAGACAAAATGATAATGAGCCTGATATCAACCTAAAAGGTCAAACATTTGTATCAAGTTAAAATGCAGAGTTTAACTTGATATCAAGCCAACCCCTCAAAGATGAGAAACACATTCTGAAGATCCAGTAAATGACTTCCTTCTCTCCATGGGTCACCACCAAAGACGATAAGAATGCAGGCAGGTGCACAGATCCATGCAGACAAACCTAACTGCAGGACTAGCACCTAAATCCAGGCAGCTTAGGGGAGAATTCAGTTTTTATATCTAACATCATTTTAGTTGGTGAACAACAGAAACAGAAATAAAAATGTTTCTTGTATAGCATTTTATTGCCCACTTATTCATAAGAAGTGAATCAGTTTTGTCCATCTTCAAATGGAATCATCTAATTAACATAATTTATAGTGGATAGAAATACAGTTTTAACGTTTGATTTCAAGTTTTCCTAGCATGTATAATCAACATATCTTTTGTAAATTCTCTTGATGAATCAGATTAAAAGGGCATGCTAGAAGGGAGGGACAGGCTACAACTAGATCGCGACAGGTTACAGAGGTGATCGGATAAGAATAGGATGGGTTTCAATACAGACAAGTGCAAGGTGTTGCACCTGGGGAGGAAGAACCAGCAGCATACCTACAGGCTGGAGAACTCCCCTCTTGTCAGTGCAGAAGCAGAAAAGAATGGTGGAGTCATTATTGATGCCAAAATGAACATGGGCCAACAGTGTGGGGACGCGGTCAGGAAGGCTCACTGCACCTTGTCATGCATCCATAGATGCATCATGAGCAGGTCCAAGGAGGTGATACTCCCCCTCTATGTGACACTGGTCAGGCCGCAGTTGGAGTACTGCGTCCAGCTCTGGGCGCCGCACTTCAGGAGGGATGTGGACAACATGGAGAGGGTCCAGAGGAGGGCCACTTGCATGATCAGGGGGCAGCAGGGCAGGCCCTATGAGGAGAGGCTACAGGACCTGAACCTGTTCAGCCTCCACAAGAGAAGGCTGAGAGGGGATCTGGTGGCTGCCTATAAACTTGCCAAGGGGGACCACCAGGCAATGGGAGAGTCCCTGTTCCCCCGAGCACTACCAGGGGTAACAAGGAACAGCAGCAAGAAGTTGACTAAGAGTAGATTCAGGCTGGACATCAGGAGGTGCTACTTCACTGTCAGGGC